TTCATCGATTGAGATGATGGTTGGTTAGGACACGTACTACGTATGTCCAGTCACCGATTGCCTCGTCACACAATGTTGGCAGAAGTAGGTCCAGGCTAGAAAAGGCCCGAGGTGGCCAGACTAAAACATGACACCAATGTATGAAGTCTCTAACTGTTGGTTTGAGCGTGTATGGGGGGCGATGCAGACTAGGTGGTTGGGGTCGGTGGGACAAGAGGAACCACTGGTGGTTGGAGACTGACTCTAGGTGATATGGCTGAGACCTGATGTCAGTGGCGCAGATGTATCCCCACACACATTATCCTCATCTTAACACTATACCAATTCTCACCGCCTTCTCATTCTTCCTTCCTTTCTTCTCGTACTTTATGTTTCTTTCGGCTGAATTTTCTTATCTTCATCTTGCACCTCATTGACTTTTTACTTGATGTAGTGATATGAAGTGTGGTGGGAAGTGGGACCGTTACGCAGTAATGTCTGGTCCTATGTTGATATTGATAATCACGGTATTCTGGCAGGCTCTCTTATCTTTTCTAGATCTGTTAATATGACGTCTTACTGGACAATCATTGTTCAGTATCACAATCCAAGTAACAGTTCAAGGCCTTGTCGTTACGGCAGAAATTTTCTGATGTTAACCAACATATCAACAAACTTCATACAGATGTGCAGTTTGAAGATTTAATTAGCTAAACTAGCGATCTTCTACCGACCATGAGTTTCAACGTTAAAACTAACCATTACAGACTGTTGCCATGAATACTTCAGCACAAAATCAAACGATCACAGCTTCTTAACACAAGAGCACAGAGAACAACTGAAATGCAACAACGATTTGATAGATAACACATCTGGACAAAGGTGGGGGGGGGGGGGAGTTATCATCTTGAATAGAAGCGTCTAAATAGACAAAATGGTGACTGAGATCACGGACGAAAGTAAATTCTGCGAACGTGTAAAAGCGAAAAATAAGACGTGACTAATTGAACATCAACTTATGTTTTGAAAAGGCTTAAAAATGATCAGCTAATAATGATCTCTACGAATGCATCAGACCAACAGGTTTAACAATTCCACGCATTATCTATGTGATTTATAGACGGAACTGCCATTGGGATCCCTACTACGTCACCACCTACTGGCAGACTACTTTATGGCCAGTTTAGAGAACGGATGCTTGAAATCAACGACTGAAGGTTTTCAACTGTACAAAAGGAACATTGACGATACTTTTATTACCTATGATCACTAATATGATTTGAATCACGTTCTACAAGTAATCAACTGCCATTCAGGAATTAGATTAATCCTTGAAGTCGAAAATCGACAGCAAACTCACTTTCTTCATGTAGAGCTGACAAGAACGATTGATGAAACGCTAAGCAGATCAATCGACAGAAAACCAACGTGGAATAGTCAACTGGCGAACTTTAATAGCTACGTCCCTATAAGTCATAAGCGAAATCCGATCATATCTCTTGCCAACTCGCATTAGACGAATCTGCAGTTCTGATGAGTCAAAAGAGGAAATTTCTGTTCTAAGGAACATTCTTGTTGAAATCGGATTCCCATCACGCTTCATAGGTAAACACATCAAACCTTAACACCGTACCAAAAATAACATCCTATATGAATTTAAACTTTAAAGGTGATTCTGCTGCTGACACTATAAAAAGGAGGATATCAAACGCTCTAAGGAGAACATTCCACCCATCAACAGAGACTAGTATTCTTTTATCGCCCAATGAATCCCAATAACTCGAAGCAAAAACTTTCGCATCTGACTACTTCTATGCCCATATATCAATTCACCTGCTTTGGGGAACCAAGTATATAGATTGTTCGATGAGACTGTTATTCAAAAGGTTTCAAGAACACTATCCTGCGTGGTTACAAAGAGGTAATTATGAAACGATAAGTAGTGCTATAATTCAACACTTCGTAAACACAAATCATATTACCTCAAAAACTCTCTAACGTTCAAAGTCATCGATAAATTGGGAAGAAATCTTCCAAAGGCTATATATCTTCGTATTCTCCGCATCACCGAAGCTCTTGCCGTCCATATGGAAAAATCTGAACTGTGTACGCGAAAGAAGACTGTTCAAACCCTTCGCCTTTCATGGTCTTAACTTTCAGTCTTTGAAATCTCCTCTACACACCCCCTTCGCCCTCTCTTTTCTGTTTTCCAGCTATTCACTTCTTAAGTAATTTACTACTAATTCTTGTTATTATACTCTGCCTAATCACAATTCACTTTCCAATTATGTCATCATGTTACAAAACGTTTTCTTGTCCAAACGTATTTTGATGAACACTCACTACTCATATCTAAGCCCGTAAAAGAGAGAAGGTTGGGCGAAGGGGCTAGCTAACCTACCCCAGACAGTCAATCCAATCGCTAAGGAAACTTCAAAGCACAGAGGAAATATAAAAAGCAAACTTATTCTTCACAGGAATCGGAGGGATGGAATCACACCGGTTGGTGAAAGCTTTCGGGAAGCCAATTGACCGATGTGTCTTCTCTTCTCTCTATAAAAGCGAAAGTAAACATGACGACATGGAATGTCCTCACCATGCATGAACCTAGCAAGGCTGCCCAGATTCCCAAAGACATGAGAAGATATAGCATGAAAGTGCCAGGCTAAGAATCTGTGAAGCAGATGGAATCGAAGTGGACTCACCAAACTGTCAACTGAAGAGTCAATGATATACTCCGATATTGTCACCCGAACGACAACCACAAGTGCACTGAGTTTTGGAGTTGCTAACATGTTGTCCCCTTCTAGAGCATGGAAGGCTCACATGCAGTGAGAACCAATCTCCTCCACCATCAGGATCATGACAACAAGATTCAAATGAAAAGGAAGGGAAGTCACAATCATACAATGCCGGCTACACGCCTACAAATAATGCAGACATAGATCAAGAGAAGGAGGAGGAATTCTACAGACAACTGCAATCAGTAATGGACAAGACCCCAACCCAGTCGGCAACATCAAAATCCTAATGGGTGGGGTGACATGATGCCAAACTGGGAGCGGATAACACAGGAAGAGAACCAACAATGGGTCGAGAGGCACTCGGTGAAATGATGAATGAGAATGGAGAACTGTTTGCAGACTTCTGCGTGTTTAATGGTCTGGTGATTGGAGGCGATGCAGTGTGTAAAAACACAAGGATATTCACAAAGCCATATGGATTTGATTTCACCAGACACCGGGATACACTACACTAAAAATCAGATCGACTTCATCTCAATGCAAAGAAAGTGGAGACGCAGCCAGCTTACTGGTCAAAAGATCAGATCAGGAAGGGGAGAAGATACAGGTTCGCACCAATCACTATCTAGTGCAAGGAACCTAACTTCAAAATCAAGTTGAAAGCCTTCACAGAAATTAATGATAGACGACCACAGTTCGAGTTCAACACTCAGAACACAAACTGAACTGAAGGACAAAATTACAAAGGACATCTTCACGTCGGCCGGTCATCAGGACAAAATGGGAGACATTAAAAACATCTCTGAAGAAACCTGCATGGAAAGACACTAGGACTTTGCGAATGCGATGTAGAAGAAAACCTACATACCCGTGTTTGGAAGGAAGAAGAATGGGCAAGACAAGGAATGGATCTCCACGGACACATGGAAGCTGATAGAGACTGAAGAGGAAGATGGTGAAGGAGAAGATGAACCAGTGCAGTACAATGCAGGGATGAACAACGAAAAAAGGAACTGAATACAACATAAAAAACACTACACTGGTCAAAGAAGTGAAGAAGAGTGCACGCAAAGACAAAAGACACTTCTACGACATACTGGTAAGTGAAGCAGAACAGGTTGCAGGTAGAAGAGACAGAGACCTTACAACATGATATCAAACAACCAGGTTACTATCTGTGAAGAGATGAAAACAATGAAAGATAATGAAGGAAGCCTAGTTACTAAAGAGGAGAAACAAACGAGACAATGTGCTAACCACTTTAAAAAACTCTTGGATCGACCAACACTACCACCACCACCTGCAACTCATCCAGAAATACCACCAGCAGCCCAGTCACACAACCACCACTGAACACAAACCCTCTGACAAAAGCAAAAGTGAACTCTTGAATGCTATAAAGTTGCTGAAATCTGGGAAAGTAGCAGGACTAGATGGAATCCTGCCAGAAGCGCTGAAAACAGACGTAGGGATATCAGCGTTTATGCTCACACTACACCATTATTGCAGAAAGTTTGCAAGGAAGGAAGGAAAGGTACCTGCCAATTGGAAGAAGGACTACCTTGTCAAACTCGCAAACAAGGAAGACCTAAGTCTTTAAAAGAAATGGCGCGGAATCATGCTCCTGTCCACACCACGCAAAATATTAAGCTGCATCATCCTAGAGAGACTAAAAAAAATGCTCTGGATTCAAAGTAATTTGGCAGCTGCTTCAACTCTACGGTTTTAGTGCCACAAACGTTTATCAACCTCATTGAACAAGAAGAAATGAATGCTTATGAGCAGTCGTGAAGGTAGGCATGCCACTAAAGCCTTATGTTCCACTAGGAACCCAAGGATTGGTAGTCAACATTTTTAGTTCTATGGCTCAGGTTATCGTCAGCACATTCTAAGATGAGTCTTATGGTAGGTAAGACATAGAGGAGATGAACACAGAACCGAACGGCTGACTTATCACCTCCAACTACTTTACTTCACTTATCTATATACACTTTTAGTAAAAAAAAAAAGGGATAGGAAAACTGGCTTTATAAAGAATAGTTTACTGAATAATTACTGCATCTATATATTAGGTATAGACTCTGTGTGTGTGTGTGTGTGTGTGTGTGTGTGTGTGTGTGTGTGAGGAGGAGGATGACAATGACGGAAAAGAACTAACAAAGTCACAGTACAGTGTTTATCGGAAAAACTTAAATGACACAGGAAATACACACACAAAAAAATATTACAACAGAAGTATGGATCGTGTATACTGATGACAATAATTGAAAATATGAATTAATCAGACTTTTTATTTGTTGAACCACCACCTTCTAACATTTGTAGACGATACTGAAATAAGAAGGAAGCGATTACTTCATGAAATGAATTTACTAATGAAATAATTATCTCAACTACACTTAACTTACTCTATGATAATCATCATCATTATCAACATAGGACCAGGCATTACTGCGTAACGGTCCCACTTGCCACCACACCTCAAGTCACTTCATCAAGTAGAAAGGTAGTGAGGTGAAGGATGAAGATAAGTGAATTCAGTCAAAAGAAATATAAAGTACGAGAAGAAAGGAAAAAGAAGTGACAAAATGGTGAGATTCGGTATAGCGTGGTTAAGATGAGGATAATGTGTGTATACATCTTCGCCACTGACATCGGTTCTCAGCCATATCACCTAGGGTCTCCAACCACCAGTGGTTCCTCTTGTCCCACCGACCCCAACCACCTAGTCTGCATCGTCCTACATGGCTTAAACCAACAGTCAGAGACTTCATACATTGGTGTCATGTTTTAGTCTGGCCACCTCTGGCCTTTTTCCAGCCTGCACCCACCTCAGCCAACATTGTGTGACAAGGCAATCGGTGACTGGGCATACGTAGTACGTGTCCTAACCATCTCAATCGATGAAGGTTCACAACCTCCTCAACTGACTTACCTCTTCTTCCCAAAACTCTACACCTAACTTCTGCATTACTCACATGGTGTGGTGACACCACGGAATACAGCCTATACTGCGAAGGCAATGGTGGTCAACCACCTCAAGCCTTTTTGTATCCTCCACTTTCAATGGCCATGTTTCACAGCCATACAGTAGAACAGAGCGGACTGCTGTGCAGTACACGCGACCCTTAGTAGACAAACGAATATCACGGCGGCACCATAGGTGGCGCAAATTGGCAAAAGCCAATCGAGCCTTTTGTATCCGTGCAGAAATCTCATCGGCAACTAACCCACCAGGACAGTGCTGATCCTACTTCCCAGGTAGGTGAAGTGGTCAACACACTCAACCACTTCACTCTCTATTGTTAACCGCGGTACCGCTGAAGACCAGTCAGTCCTGGAGCAAAAATTTGCATTTGGGTGGTGAAAATCGCATCCCAAACATTCTCAAATTCCCACTCAAAGTGTTCACAAGACCCTGCATCTTGTCAGCGTCTTCACCTAACAGGATTGACTATGTCATCTGCATATTCTAGATCTAAAGAAAATTCACCTGTGATTGGGTCAACGTCTGTGTAATTAGGTGACGAGAGGGAAACCTCTATAAGAATATCTATGATAAAATTAAATAAGAATGGGGATAGTGGGCATCCTTGACGGACACCACTCGATGAGTATAGCTCCCTGGACAACTTGCCGTAGGCTCTAACATGCCCACAAGTGTTCGAGTAGAGAGCTTACTCTATGATAATAATAGTTGATTGTAACAGAACTGACTGACCATGGATAGCAACCTGGATTGTCAACTTGTCAAAACTCAGCTTACAGACAGTTGTGTTCGTCGAGGATAAGAGGATAGATTGTAACCCCAAGTATCTGCAAACTCTCAACAATGGAATCGCGACTCCATAAAAAAAGCATATGATTGATCAGATTTTATTTAGCTGGAACGGAGTTTTAACCTATAGCTTCACTCATGGAAAGTCGAATATCAGTGAGTTACAACACCACCAGACAATATGTTGGAAGAAGACGTGAGTGATTGTTGAAATCTTATTATGTCTGTTTACCAGTAGAAGGATGCTGCAAAACTGGTGAGAATCGACTGCTAGCTTGAGGAGGTAAGTGTGTAGAGATAATGTCAAAAAAACATCCAACTGCTCACACTAAGGGCTGAGTATACTGTACACCAGTCCATTCTATTCTCTCGTAGGATCGTAAGACACTGTTTTTGTAAGTAGAAGCTATGAGAAAGCGATACAAGTCATTGCGGTCGAACTACCAAGTAAGAAATATGAAGGGTAAGTGTACAGTATTAATAAACGAAGATAAATCTGTCCGCAGGATTAGAAACATGCAATGACTGAAGTAGCTTGAATATATTTTGCGTATTCAAAACAATCACCTACCTCAACACAAAAACTTAGTTGACGTACGACTACCTTGGAAGAGAGCAGAAGGTGAACAGTTCACCAAGTTGAGAATATTTGTAGCTCAGGTGAATGATCTTGAGCTGGGTTGTTTAATCGTTTTTAATGACATCAAATTCACAATGAAGAAGCAATCGAACAATCGACTACCATTCCTAGATGTTTAGTCAGTAGGACAAATGTCGGAAAGCTGGAAACCCAAGTGTAGAAAAAGCCAATACACACACTGACTCATCAAATCCTCAACTACAATAGCAACAACCCAACAACACACAAAATCAGTTGCGTGCAGACTCTAGAGCGAGAACACATTGCAGCACAACAACTTCACACCGAAACGAAGAAAATTATCTTGATGTCCACCCTAAAGAAGAACGCCTACCCACAAAACTTTATCTCAACATGCCTATCCCACGCATCATCATCAACTACAAAGTCATCAACAGAAATCAACAAACGTTCATCCTACAATACATACAGAATATATCAGAAATCACGACAAGATTACTGAGACCACTAAGTGGAATTGGTGTGGCCACTCATAAACCACAAAGTCCCCTCAAAACACTATGCACACTATGCACACCAAAGGATGCACATCCAGAGAAGACAAACCGAATATCACTTACAAAATCAACTCCAATAACTCTAGTCAACACTACACATTGGACAAAGTGGTCACCCATCTTCGCCTTCCTCTACACGAACACCAATTGGCTATTAAACGCCACGACATTTCATCACTCATTTCAATGCACGTGGATAACAACTACGGAGATGAATTGAATTTTGACAATGTAGAAATGTTGGATGGAGAGAGGAAACACAAAGAATATCATCAGAGAATTTCTAGAAGCTTGGCATTCACTTCAGTCAGTCAGTAATCAATAGATGTATAGATATAGATCCCATCTATCAATCGATGCGAAAAGTGATAAGAGACAGATAGGTGAAGCAGAGGAACAGACAACAGGAAACTCTATGCAGTCAGTCGACCACACGACAATCAAAGGAAACAACCAATCACAAAGCAGTTGGTCAGGGCAAGCTACTAAATTGTGTGATAAAAAGTTTACTGCGAACACTGGGCATTAATCCTCGTTGTATTATGTTCTCTGAGCTGAGTTGTTTAGTCGTGAAGCTTCCATCGTCTTTCTTGACAGCTACATCATCACCACTTACTTCAATATGAAGTGAGCTGTCAATATCTCTCCGTGAGTGGATTTAGTGGCTTACTCTGACGATGTGGTCTGTGATTGGTTGTTTCCTTCGATTGTTGTGTCATTGAGTGACCGCGTAGATTTTCCTGTTGGCTGTTCCTCAGCTTCATCTCTCACCTTTCTATGGTTTATCACTTCTCTCATTGATTGATAGATTGGGTCTATGTCTATACATCCATTGATTGCTGATGGACTGACCTGAATGCCAAGCTTCTAGGAATTCTCTGATGATATTCTGTGTGTTTCCTCTCTCCATCCAACATTTCGACATTGTCAAAATTCAATTCATGTTCATAATTATCCACATGCATTGAAATGAATGATGAAATGCTATGACTTGATGTCTATCCCGAAGATCAAAGGATGCAACAACCAAAGAAGACAAACCGAACATCATTTACAAAATCAACTACAATAACTGTAGTCAACACTACACATTGGACAAAGTGGCCGCCCTCTTCGCCTTCGTCTACATGAACACCAATTGGCTATTAAATGTCACACATGACCTCTCATCGCTCATTTCAATACACATGGATAACATGGAGATGAATTGAATTTTGACAATGTAGAAATGTTGGATGGAGAGAGGAAATACAAAGAATATCAGGGAGTTCGTAGGAGCTTGGCATTCAAGTCAGTCGGTAATCAATAGACGTGTAGACACAGACTCAATCTACCAACCGATGAGAGAAGTGATAAAACAAGAGAAAGGTGAGAGGTGAAGCTAAAGAATAGCCAACAGGAAAATCTATGCGGTCAGTCAATGACACAACAATCAAAGGAAATAACCAATCACAAAGCAGTTGGTCAGGGCAAGCTACTAAATCACTCAAGGAGAGATATTGACCGGTCACTTCATACTGAAGTTAGTGCTGATGATGTCACTGTCTAGAAAGACGATGGAAGCTCCACGACTAAACAACTCAGCTCGGAGAACATAATACAACCAAGTTCATGAAGTTTCACACTGCTGGTCTGATACATGTACACAGATGTAAACCATCAATGTTGAGCATCTCGAGACGATAGAATAAGTGGTTCGACACATTTGATGGATGTGACTGACCAACAAAATCAAATTAGAGCCTCGCACACACAGCTGCATAGGTTCAACTCACCACACTTCACAGTAGTATACAAAGAACAGGTGGATAGAAAAAGAGTGGTACCAAAGAAGATAAGGTAATCTAAGAGAATAAACAATCGGAAGACAAAGATTACTGTGAATATTCAAGCTTTAGAAGACGTCAAGGAGTGAATATACATCTGCGCCATTTTGACCAATGTTCCAGCAATGTCATCAAGAGACCTCAGCTACTGATCGCCGTCATCTCAGGGACCCGATGTGTCTCAGACCAACAATAAGAGACTTCATGTACTGGTACTAGGTATTTCTCTGGTCACCCTCAACCCTTTTACAACCTAATCCAGCATCTTCTAGCATAGCGCACATGGTGATATGCTTCAAAAATCATTCACAAAGATTCAGGTGTATACACTCTTTGACATCTCAGCATCCTTCACCACCTTCATTAACCTTCGTTTGGATATTCCTTCTTCAGCCTACTAATGCGTCGCTTTTTGGCTCACTCATTTCTTTTTTCCACCCTCCTGTTAAGTGAGACAACCTAAGTTGATACACTTCTGTACCAAGTCTCCATGTCAATTTGTCGATATATCTGTCGACCTATCAACCTGTAGATGCCGTCTATTACACTAGTATGTTACACAGCACAAACACACAAACACACACACACACATGCCATCATTGGTATGACCGATTAGAAGTAAGCGACTTCCCTTTACTGACTTTTGTCAGTGTTACTGTGTTACTTATCTACTTATCTACATAAAGTGATGTGAAATTTCAACGAGATGTAGATTTTACGACGAAAACTATCATCTGTAACAATTGGCCAAAGATTTACTATTACTGACTGTATTCATAAGAAATCAGTAGCTGGAGATAAAGATTATCACCAATGAGTTACAAATAGGATTTTGACGAGGAAGAGGAGTGACTGATTAAAACTTATGAAAATCAAGCAATTCAACTCAGTATAGCGATGAAACATCACAAGTATCAAACAAAAATAGATAATACTCGTTGCACAAGTAGTTGGTTATTGTGCCTCAGTAGAAAACACTTTAGCACTTGAAGGGATCAGGATCATTCATCAAGGTGTACGTAAATTCAGCTGATATCTCTCAAGTAGAACGAAACATATAGATCAGCATATCATTCAACATTCGTTAGTATGCACGCCTGCGATAAGATGTGAATACATCGGCGGCAATGTGATCAACTTTTAGCTATGTCATCGACGTTTTCTGATAGCTCTGTTCAAGCTATCAACACTTACCTGTGAAGTGAAAGCGTAAAGTCAGTGTTATATATTCGACTGGTTACTCTTTGTTTTTTCTAACTTCCATCTAATTCAGCTAGTCTTCAGCGTATCTACAGAGTAACTCCGTATGCATAGTACACGCCGGAGAGATCTCCGATTATCTATCAAAGGACGAGTATACTGCGCCAATCCAGTTCATTCTCTTGTTATACGACTGTGACACATCGCCGTTGGGAGTAGAAGACATGAAGTGGTTACAAGAGTTTCGATCACAAGTGTCTTCGAAACATTGCTCACCACTGGCGGAATATCCATGTGAGCAAATGCTGAGGTCAGGCAGCCAAGTCGATTGATGAGATTGTGAACCTTCATCGGCTGAAGTGGCTTGGATATGTGCTGTGCTCTCCGAAGTACCGCCTACCTAGAAGCACTATGCTAGGAGATGCTGGATTAGGTTGTAAAAGTGTTTAGGGTGGCTATACAAAAACCTATATGAAGTCCCTTCTTCTTGATCTGAGATATATCGGGAGGTGTACACAGTGTGACGTCAAAGCCAAGATCGGAAAAGCAAGACAGGCGTTCACTAACCAGAAATCAGTGTGGAGATCTTCAGCACTCAGCATAAAGCGTGAACAAGATCCGGATTTTTAACACTACTAATGTCAGTCAAGTCAGTGCTTCTATATGGGTCAGAAACTTGGCGCGTCATGAAAAGCATTTCGAACAAGCTACACACAGTAATCAACAACTGCCCACGCTGGCTCGCTACTGAAGACCAGATGGATTGCCAGTAAGAATAAACAACAAGGAACTCTGGCCTGGTAACGAACCAACCAAGAACCTATCACTCAACAAAGATGCAGAAGGAAGTGGAGATGGATTGGGCATGCACTGAGGACCATTCGGGAGGACATCATGCACGAGGTCAGACCCTCGAGTGTAACCCAGATGGGAGGCGACGAGTTGGGCGTCCGAGGCGAGGGTGACATGGAGGAGATCGTGCGAGGAAGAAATGAGAGCCTCTGGGCAGTCGTTGAGCCAGGTTCAAAAGATTGTAGAGAACAGAATGGAATGGAGACGTGCTACTGTTCCATTAGGAACCCGAGGGACAAATAAATAATAATGTGATCAGAGTCCCCGAGACGATGAGAATCAGTAGTTGAGACTATTGATGACATGGGTGAAAATCAGTCACAATGGCTCACATGTGTATTCACTCACTGACGTCCTCTAAAGCTTGAATATTCACACTAACCATCATCTTCAGATGGTTTATTCTCTCACACAACTTTATATACTTTAATATCACTCCTTTTGCTATCCATCTATTCTTTATATACTACTGTGAAGTGTGACAAGTTGATTCAATGCACCTACCTGTGTGTGTATGTGTGTGAAGTTCCACGTTGATTGTTTCATTTATTCGTCAGTTAGTAAGTACACAACCCACCCATTTAAATCGATTAGAGTCGACAATCTCATCGAGTGATTTACCTCCTTTACTCATAGCCAGCCCTACGCCGCCTAACCTTGAGATTTCTACACTATACAAGTGTAGTACTCTATAAACGAAAAACTTTAACACACTTGAATAGTCTTCTCTCACAATAAGACATAGCCAATCACTGTATATCATACTTATTCTGAAAACCTCAACAGTAAAATCATTAAAATGATGGGCAGTGGCTGCACATTTCATCCTATTTGGGACTCGTCAGCTGGATGAAATGCACATCGTGGATTCCACTGCTAGCCATGATCCATCATTAACATAATTAGAACGCAGACAATATCGAGGCATCCACACAGGAGCAGCCTATATGCCAATAGAGACTGATCAATTCGGTCAAATCAACAACGGTATGATATAAAAAACAAGCAAAGTAAGATCGTTTAAAACCTAAATTCAACATCTTACGGTCAATTCAGCACAACACAGCACAGCACACACACACACACACAATCATTATTAAGATATTCAAAAACCTACTTTGTCTGATGAGTTTGTGAATGGTTGAATTCCACCTTAGTTTAGTAAACTATGCAACAGACTTTATAAACTATGTGCTATATTGCAAGTCAGTAATTTAATTAATCTCTATACTAAACATTTGATTAGTAATTAGTTTTACATTGGTATTTCATCATGGAGTGACATTAGTTGGTTGAACATTGGAAGCATGGGGGAGCAGTGGACAGGTATTTCATCCAACTAGTATGCGACTCCTCAGCAGTACGCACTGTTGATCTCGCACCCCGAGGGATCGGACTGAGGACCTTAAAGTTCCGAGGCCAGTACGTTACCATTGAGCCAGTGGGTTGAAGTAGAATGGTTCATATTTTCTACTTCTATCAGGTCACGATATAATGCGACCTACATCCAATGTTATCATTGAGTAACTGTCTTCATGTTCACCTTGGGTGACCTCAGTGGTCACAACTTTTTACTGGAACTTCAAAAAATCACCTCTCGAAGGTAGTCATCAATAGGCCCTAGGTTAATTCTATCTGGAGGTTTGTGAAGATTTATTAATTGGTTTTAGGTCGGAATTCATCATGGACTGATTCTCGAAGTTCCAACAGGAAGCCGTGGCCACCGCAGTCATCCAAGTCGAACATGAGGACAGTTACTCAACGACAACATTGGAGGTAGGTCACGCTATATCGTGAACTGACAAAAGAAGGAAATATGAACGATTGGTTCAATAGTCGCATGCTAGCGGTGGAACCTTAAGACCCTCGGTTCGACCTCCTGGTGCAGCGAGGTTATGGGTGCGCACTGCTGAGCACTCCCATACTAGTCGGACGAAACAGCTATCCAGTGCTCCCAGGTTTCCAATGTTCCTCCAATTGATGTCATCACTACAAACCTGAATAAAACTAGATTATAACATATTGTAACATGAAAACTTCCAACAAACTACAGACATCATACATCAACAGCTGTTGCCTACACTCACTCCATACTGAACATCAGATAGATGTCCAGAAAGAATAAACAATAAGGAACTCTGGCCTGACAACGAACCAACCAACAACCCATCACCCAACAAGTATGCGGAAGAAAGTGAAGATGGATTGCATTGAAAATACACTAAGAACACGGTTTGGGGACATCATGCACCAGGCCAGACCCTCGAGTGGAACTCAAATGGGAAATGACGGGTTGGGCGTTCGAGGATGACATGGAGGAGATCCTTCTATTTTACTCTTCTACACTTACTAACCGGACATTCACAATGAACAATCAATTCCGAAGGTACTATATAACCATACATTCCTGAATAGAAGTGTATTAGAGTATTAAGGTTTGTTTCAAACCTTCATATTCGTTGGAAAACATCTTCATTACACTGTGATACATAAAACAACCGTTACTGGTTCGATACTGGCTAGCAGAGAAATCCATCATATGTGTTACGTGTTATTTGGAATCATTGATAGGTTATAATCCGGATTCCAGTGAGTGATGGTATTCTCAGTGACTTTTAACCCAGCAGAAGTTATCTACTACAATACTGAGTCACGAATCACTGCAACAAACCAATCGGTCTCTCTTGGTATATATAGGTTCCTTAAGAGGATGCCTAAGAACTTCATTTGACGTTATGAAAGCAATGAAGTAGATGACAATAGTGTGCTCACTACAACTTCATCAACTTATTTAACTGACCACAGTTCACAGTCATAAGTCTAACTCTGTTTATAAACTGGAACCCAAGGACACATTCACCTTCAGGTATATAAAGACTTCAACATACCAGATAGTTAATCAAGTAGTATACATAACAAAACTGACAAGAAATATAACCAGCATACAGCGAATACCAAACCGTACATTCATTATTACCAACTCACCTGGAGTTTCTGACATTCTTGAGTGACTCGATCATATTCCGCGTTGGTTTGAAGACTTTGCTTCTTTAAAGTCTCTAAATCTCGTTTAGTTTGTTTATGAGCTTGGTTATGTGTTGAAGAAAGGGAAAAAAAAGACAAAGATAGTTAGTAGAAATACTTTAATTCCTTTCACGAAACAATTAACAACACAATTCAGTAAAAGAGAAGAAGAAGAAGAAGGTATGCTGAATCAGTGGAAGATAAGGTTTGGACCCATTTGTGTCGCTGACATCGATTCTGAGGCATATCACCTAGACAGATGGATCTCAACCGGTTAGTCTACATCGCCTGACATGGCTCAAACCAACAGTCAAGGATTTCATGCAGTTATACATGTTATAGTCTGGCCACCCTGAGCATTCTTCAAGCCTGAAAACCTTCAGCCGACGTTGTGCGGCGAGGCAGATGGTGACTAGGCATCGGTAACGCATATCCCAACTATATTAGTCAATGAAGTTTACGACCTTATAAACTGACTTTCCTTAGATGCCAGTGTTTATAGGGAGCCCATACATTTGAACAGATACTCGAATTTCACATCGTTTCGCTCAAGTCACGTGTGGTAACTTACACCGTTAGATAGTGACACCAGATCTCATGTTGCCCCCTGATTTCATGAGTGGATAGATTCAATGAGGGTTGTTTCGGTGAAATACAGCATATTTGGCTTCAAGCTGATGGAGAATATCTGCAGGTAAAGGATAATGATTATAATGGTGTTGTGTTCCCTATTCTTCTTAAAGTTTGTGTTAATAATGTTGCCTACAATGAAAATGAAGCTTTCATGATTAAACCACTCAGCGCTCAGAAAACATAACACCATCAAAATCATCCTCCTGATCTGTGGATATTCTTTAACATACATGGGTTGAACTAACTTATAAAAATTCATTTTTCTAAGTAGTTATAACGAACTTTATTATCCGACGGTAAAAAAACAATAGAAGAATATCGTTATTAAAGACAGGCTATAGTAACCTGTCCACCCCAAGTAAAATATTATGCTACATCATCCTGGAGAGAATAAAAAATGCACTGGATTCAAAATTACGACCGGAACCGACTGGATGGATTCGCTTCAGTAAAAGCAACTCATGTGCGGATCAAATTGCAACGCCACTCTACCCATCATCATAGAACAGAGTATAGAATAGCAGTCAACTCTCTACCTCAACTTCATCCACTTTGAAAAGACCTTCGACAGCGTCGACCAACAAGTAATTTGGCAGTTGCTTCAACACTACGGTTTTACTGACACAAACCTTTATCAATCTCATTCAACAGGTATATGAAAACGCCACATGTCAAGTGATCCACAAAGGAAAGCTCAGTGACGCATTTGAAGTGAAGACAGGGGGGACAGGAGTAGGACAAGGTTATCGCCTACTAACACCGATCATCCTCCTGGTTGTGGTCAACTGGATTGAGGAACAGACTGTGAGGAGCGAGAAGACGGGCATACGCTGGCTCGACCGATGAAAAGACCCTACACGATTTGGATTTCGCCAACGATGATTTACGTTTAATGTCGCACAAACTAGAAGATCTACAGGTGAAAACTAACAAGTTGACAGGAGAGGCAGGGCAGCGAAAATGGGATTTCAAGTGAATGTAGAGAAGACGGAGGTGATGAAGATACCCAACAAACAACAACAAGCACCAATCACCATGATCTGGAAAAACCTAAACCAAGTGGTCTCTTTCACCTACCTAGGCAGTATCATTTCAACTACAGGCGGCATAGGAATAAATGAAGACGTCAAAGCCAGCCAGGATAGAAAGACAGCAAGACAGGCGTTCATTAACCTGAAACCAGGGTGGAGATCTTCTGCACTCAGTACAAAGCGTGAACAACATCCAAATTTTCAACACCAACGTCAAGTCAGTGTTTCTGTATGGTTCAGAAACTTGGTGCATCACGAAAAGCATTTCCAACAAACTACAGACATCAACACCTATCTACGCTCGATACTGAAGATCAGATAGGTGGTCAGAAAGAACAAGCAAGCAGGAACTCTGGCTGGCTGGCAACGAACCAACCAACAACCCATCGCCCAACAAATATGTAGGAGAAAGCCGAGATGGATTGCATTGGGCATACACTGAGAAGGCAGATTGGGGACATCACGCGTCAGACCAGGCCCTCGAATCGAACCCAAAGGGGAAACGACGAGTTGGGCGTCCGACGGTGACATGGAGGAGATGGTGTGTGAGGAAGAAATGGAGGCTTCCAGGCAGTCGTGGAGCGAGGTTAGAAAGACTTCAGAGAAGGGAGTGCAATGGAGACGTGCAACTGAAGCCTTATGTTCCACTAGGAACCCAAGGGACAAAGAATAATAATTCAATGCATCTCACAACGTTGTTCCTAAAACATTTCAGATCACTGAAAGAAAACAATATAACACTATTAAATTATGTCCTAGAGAATGCATGACATCAATTTGCCATAATTAACGAAACGTAGACGATAAGCCACATACACCTATTGTGTCAGGGCAAATGATACTTACTGCCTAGCTGCTGGTCAAACCTCAGTAGGTGGAGCGCAATTGGAACCCGTGACCCGCTGGTCGATAGTTAATCATCTCCCTAGACCAATGGAGTTTATGTTTCACATCCCAAGACAAACAACAATACATGAGACACAGACATAACACAAGAAGGAATGGTTAGAAATGAAACCAACATGGACTTGTATGAAGGGACGGCATGGAAGCATTTCATCTAATCATCTAATGTTGACCTCAGGTGTGTCATAGATACAAATGAGAAAACCGACACTTCTGTATAATTTTCCACACTTGATAATAGAATTTAATTCATTCCTAATACAAAGTTGATACAGTACAAGCTATTAGAAGTGGATCACTATGACGATTTGTTTATTCTTCAGAACTAGTTTGCTGTTCGATTATTATTATTATTATTTGTCCCTTGGGTTCCTAATGGAGCACAAAGCACGTCTCCATTCCACTCTCTTCTCTCCACTCTTTTGAACCTCGCTCAACGACCGACCAAAAGCTCTCATTTCTTCCTCACACGATCTCCTCCATGTCACCCTCGGACGCCCAACTCGTCGCTTCCCATCTGGGTTACACTCGAGGGTCTGGCCTCGTGCATGATGTCCCCGAATGTTCCTCAGTGCATGCCCAATCCATCTCCACTTCCTTCTGCATATTTGTTGAACGATAGGTTCTTGGTTGGTTCGTTGCCAGGTCATAGTTCCTTGTTGTTTATTCTTTCTGGCAATCCAGTAACGAGCGTAGGCAGTTGTTGATTACTGTGTGTAGTTTCTTAGAAATTCGTCTTGTAACGCGCCAAGTTTCTGAACTATATGGAAGCACTAACATGATTGAATTGATGTTCAAAATCCGGATCTTGTTCACGCCTTATGTTGAGTGAAGAAAATCTCTACATTGGTTTCAGGTTAATCAACGCCTGTCTTGCTTTTCCGATCCTGGCTGGCTTTGACGTCCTCGTCTGTGCCTGTGTCGGCTGTAGTTGAAACAGTGCTGCCTAGATAGGTGTAGGTGAACGAGGCTACTTCCTTTAAGTTTCTCCCGTTGAATCTAATCGCTGCTTGTTGTTGTTGGTGGTTGGGTATCTTCATCACTTCAGTCTTCTCTGCATTCACTTGAAGTCCCCTCTTCGCTGCTCTACTTCTTCTGTCAACTTGTTAGTTTTCTCCTGTAGATCTTCAAGTTTGTGTGACATTTGACACAAGTCATCGGCAAATCCAAATCTTCCCGGTACAGCGTATCCTCCTCTACTCGCTCCCCATTGTTTGTTGCATGATCCAGTCTATTACAATCAGAAATATCATGGGTGATAAATTTACTATTGTAGCCAGCTATAATAAAAAAAACCCAGTGTACATCTCAACCATACAGTGCACGATCACTGTTAATTCCAAACTGTATTTATTTTCAAGTGAATGAATGACTGTATGAAATAGCATAGGCAAGAACCTTAGGTTTACATTTTGACCAATACGAAACGTCAACGCAGATATACTGTCAGTATTACTTTTGAAATATGTCCACTGAATTCGTTGATCAATAACTTTTGCCACTCTACCAGCTCTTTATTAAGAATATTTATTCACATTCATTATTTATATTATTTGATCCTTGAGTTCCTATGGAACATAGGGCTTCACTAGCACGTCTCCATTCCACTCTCTTCTCTCCACTCTTTTGAACCTGCCTCCACGACAGTCCACAAGCTCTCATCTCTTCCTCACACCATCCATCTCCTCCATGTCACCCTCACCTCGGACGCCCAACTCGTCGCTTTCCATCTGGGTTCCACTCGAGCAACTGACCCGGCGCGTGATGTCCCCAGTCGGCCTTCTCAGTGTATGCCCAATCCAATTCATCACCACTTCCTTCCAATGCATATTTGTTGCGCGATGAGTTCTTGCTTCGTTGGTTCGTTCCCAGAGTTCCTTGTTGCTGATTCTTGTTATTCTGGCCATCCATCTGATCTTCAGTAACGAGCCAGCGTAGGCAGTTGTTGATGAATGAATATATGTAGTTTGTTGGAAATCCCTTTCGTAACGCGCCAAGTCTCTCAACCACCACACAGAAGCACTGATTTGATGTTGGTGTTGAAAATCCGGATCTTGTTCCACATGCTGAGTGCAGTGCAGTGCCGTGCAGTAGATCTCCACACTGGTTTCAGGTTAATCAACTCCTGTCGTGCTGTCTTTCCGATCCTGACCGACTTTGACGTCCTCGTCTGTGCCTGTGTCGGCTGTAGTTGTAACAGTGCTTCCTAGGAGGGTGAGTGAAAGAGGCTACTTCCTTTAAGTTTCTCCCGTTCATGGTGATTGGAGCTTGTTGTTGTTGGTGGTGGTGGTGGTGTTAGTTGGGTATCTTCATCACCTCTACCTCTGTCGTCTTCTCTACGTTCACTTGAAGGAAGTCCCGTCTTCGCTGCCTTGCCTTGTCTCGCCTCGCCTCTTCTGTCAACTTGTTAGTTTTCGCCTGTAGATCTTCAAGTTTGTGTGACATTGGACATAAGTCATCGGCTCTTTGCCGCGGTCCAGCGTATCCATCCCTCTCTTCTCGCTCCCCACTGTTTGTTGCATGATCCAATCGAATACAAACAGGAATATTATGGGTATTCACTGCCTTGCTGGCTTCAAACATGGTGTGGATATTCCATGTCCTCACGTTTACTTTCGCTTTCATCGAGAGAAGACACATCGGCCAATTGGCTTCCTGAAAGCTTTCATCAACCGGCGTCATTTCGCCTCTCCGATTCTAGCGAGAAATAATTTTTTTTATTTTTTATATTTTGTTTGTGCTTTGGAGTTTCTTCAGCGTTTGGATTGGTTTTCCGGGGTAGGGTTACTAGCCTTTCGCCCAACCTTCCCTCTTTACCCAAAGCTTAGGACCGGCTAGTAACTAGTGAACTAGTTAACCAGAATATTTCCAGGTTAAGTAGATAGAGAAAGAATTATGCAATAATATAAACAGAACAATACTAGAACTAACCTTGCTCTTCAGATTCAAATTTCTTGGTCAATTTTGATAATTCATCTTTTAGTGCTTCTACGGTATCAGGCTGAAGAATAGAAGATAATGTAAACTATGAAGAGAACCACTATATACAATATTGAGACAATCTTCTAAACGAATAAACTGAATGTCGATATCATTTCATGCGAAGAAAAAAAGACAGTCTGACTAACAAAATCCAATATAGAACCTTGCACATAGATACCTCGGTTCCAGTTGCCACACTTCGCAGTAGTACACAACAAATGAGTGGATAAAAAGGGAGTGTGGGTAAAGGTTAGTCCAAATATTCAAGCTTTAGAAGACGTCAAGGAGTGAATATACATGTGCGCCATTGTGACTGATTTTCAAACAGTGTCATTAAGAGCCCTCAACTACTGATTCCCATCGTCTCGGGGACCCTAATCACACTGTCTACATCTCTCCACACGGATCACTCCAACAATAAGAGACTTCTCTGGTCACCCTCAACCCTTTCACAACCTAATCCAGCATCTCCTAGCATACCGCATCGAGGTAGGCGGTACTTCGGAGAGCACAGTACAGGTTCCAAGCCATTTCAGCTAATGAAGGTTCACAATCTCATCAGTCGACTTACCTGCCTTGTTTAGTATCCTTTGCCTGACCTTAACATTTCTCACATGGTGATATGCATCAAAAATCATTCACAAAGACGCAAGTGTATACGCACTTTGACATCTCAGCATCCTTCACCAACTTCCTTAATCTTCGTTTATATATCCCTTCCTCTCCTTTACACTTCAGTCTACTATTGCGTCACTTTCTGGCCCACTCACTTCTTCTCTCCACCCTCCTGTAAAGTGAAACAACCTAAGTTGATGCATTTCAGTGTCAAGGTTCTACGTCAACCTGTAGATGCTATTTATCATTACGTCGTAGAAGAGTATTGCGGAGGAGTCGCATACTAGTTGGATGAAATACCTGTCCACTGCTCCCACATGCTTCCAATGTTCAACCAACTAATGTCACTCCATGATGAAATACCAATGTAAAACTAATTACTAATCAAATGTTTAGTATAGAGATTAATTAAATTACTGACTTGCAATATAGCACATAGTTTATAAAGTCTGTTGCATAGTTTACTAAACTAAGGTGGAATTCAACCATTCACAAACTCATCAGACAAAGTAGGTTTTTGAATATCTTAATAATGATTGTGTGTGTGTGTGTGCTGTGCTGTGTTGTGCTGAATTGACCGTATGATGTTGAATTTAGGTTTTACTTTACTTGTTTTTATATCATACCGTCGTTGATTTGACCGAATTGATCAGTCTCTATTGGCATATAGGCTGCTCCTGTGTCGATGCCTCGATATTGTCTGCGTTCTAATTATGTTAATGATGGATCATGGCTAGCAGTGGAATCCACGATGTGCATTTCATCCAGCTGATGAGTCCCAAATAGGATGAAATGTGCAGCCTGGATTCCACTGCTAGCCACTGCCCATCATTTTAATGATTTTACTGTTGAGGTTTTCAGAATAAGTATGATATACAGTGATTGGCTATGTCTTATTGTGAGAGAAGACTATTCAAGTGTGTTAAAGTTTTTCGTTTATAGAGTACTACACTTGTATAGTGTAGAAATCTCAAGGTTAGGCGGCGTAGGGCTGGCTATGAGTAAAGGAGGTAAATCACTCGATGAGATTGTCGACTCTAATCGATTTAAATGGGTGGGTTGTGTACTTACTAACTGACGAATAAATGAAACAATCAACGTGGAACTTCACACACACAGGTAGGTGCATTGAATCAACTTGTCACACTTCACAGTAGTATATAAAGAACAGATGGATAGCAAAAGGAGTGACATCCAACTATATAAAGTTGTGTGAGAGAAGGTTAGTGTGAATATTCAAGCTTTAGAGGACGTCAGCGAGTGAATATACATGTGCGCCATGGTGACTGATTTTCACCCATGTCATGAAGAGTCCTCAACTACTGATTCTCATCGTCTCGAGGACCCTAATCACACTGTCTACATCTCTCCCCACGGATCACCCCAACAATAAGGAACTTCATGTACTGGTACTAGGTAATTGACTGGCCACCCTCAATCCTTTTACAACCTAATCCAGCATCTTCTAGCATAGCGCATCGAGGTAGGTGGTACTTTGGAGTGCACAGTACATGTTCCAGGCCATTTCAGCCGAAGAAGGTTCACAATCTCATGAACCGACTTATCTTACTTGCCTAGTTTCCTTTGCCTGACCTCAGCATTGCTCATATGGTGATTCCGCCAATGGTGAGCAATGTTTCGAAGACACTTGTGATCGAGACTCTTGTAACCACTTCATGTCTTCTGTTTGAATTGCCATGTGCCACAGCCGTATAACAAGAGGACGAACTGTAGTGGCGTAGTATACTCGTCGTTTGATAGATAGACAAATATCTAAACAGTCAGTACCTCAAATGACGCAAGTTGGCAAATGCCAAACGGCCCTTCTGTATCCGGCTGAAGTGTTGTCAGCAACCAGAGTGTTCGGCGTGCAGATGGAACTCCGAAATTAAGTGAAGTGGTCGACACATTTCACCACTTCACTCCCTATTATTATACCAGGAGTAGTTGCAGACCAGTAGGTTACGCAGTATCATCGGACATTTGACAGGTACCAACGTAACTCATGGTAAACATTGTTAAACTTTTGCCCGTGAGCATAACATCCAGGCATTTTGTCTCCACCTTCATTTAGCAGGACAGTAAGTGAAGTGTACACGTCGTATTGTGTCCACCAAAAAAAAAATTAATTTTCGCCATTCTTATTCAGTTATAGCATAGACGTTATTATAAAGACCTCTCTCTTGTTGTCTGACGTCACAGAGATTGATCTAATCACCGGAGAATCCTTGTTAGATCTAGAATACCCAGATGACATTTCTGTTAGATGAAGATGCTGACAAGAGGCGGAGTCTTCTGGACACCTTAAGTGGCAATTTAGGAATGTTTGGGATACGTTTCTTGTCACCCGAAAAAGATTTGTTGCTCAGCGAGTGGTCTTCGGCAGCGACCTATCTAGCAATAAGGAGTGAAATGGTTGTGTTGAACACTCCAATTACCTGGAAAGACGGATTAGTCCTGGTGGCTTAGTGGCCGACGAATGTCTGCATGGATACAAAAGGCCCGCTTGGCTTTCATCAACTTAAGCTATTCGTGGCACCACCACGCTGTTTAATTGTCTATAAAGGGTAGAGAGCACTGCCTTGCAGTTAGTTCGTTCCGTTATAATTTATGGTTGAGATACATGGTCATTAAAGGTAGATGACATGAAAAAGCTGCAGGTATTCAACCACCGTTAACTTCGGAGCACAGACCGTGTGTCACGGAATGCATTGACCACTTCACTTGTTTGCGGAGTTGCATCAGCTCAAATAGGGTGGCTAGTGACAAATGCTCAACTCGGATACACAAGGTCTGTTTAGCATCTATGGCCAACACTCACGAGATATCCCACTACCTATCAAAGTAAGAGTATACTACGCCACTCCAGTCTATTCTGTCTTATCATATCGCTGAATAACATGGCCGCTAAAAGTAGAACATATGAAGTGGTCACAAGAAATTTTATCAGACATATCTTCGCATTTAGCGGAATACCCATGTGACCAATGCTGAGGTAAGACTATTACTAGGCAAGAAAGGCAAGTCGATTGATGCGGCTGTCAACCTTCATCGGCTGAAACGGATTCAACATGTTACACGCATACCAAGTCACCACCTACATCGACAAGCCATGCTACGGGAAGTTCGATTACGTTGGCGGAAGGCTTCAGGATGGTCAAACTAGTAAGCGGCATCAGTCGATAAAGCCTCTGGCTTTTGGTATGAGCCGTGTAGTAGGGAGATGTTGACTTCCTAGTTGGGGTCTCAAAGACGATTGGAATTAGTGAGGAAGATGTTTTCACTCTGTGACGTCTTCTAAACCTTAAATATTTGCACTTACCTTCACTTTCAAATTGTTTGTTCTCTCATGCAACTTTGTCTTTTTTGATACTACTCTTTTTCTATCCACTCCCTCTTCTTCTTCTTCTTCGTATACCGCTGTGAAGTGAGGCACCTTGAACTGATGCAGTTGTGTGCTAGGTTCCACCTTGATTCTGTTTCTCTGTCTGGTCTACTAAACAGTCTCTTGTGGCAAAGTCAATTTTTGTTCAATCATAAAGAGAACACGTTGATGACAAAACCAAACACGAATACAAAGAGTAGACATACTTGGTGTAAATCATTCAGTGTGCACAACCAAAGTGATACTTCACCACTGACTCCAAAATACCCCCAGGTATCCAGATACAGAGCCTGACAATTTGTTACTGTATGGGAATGACCCACATCACTATTGCAGAAGGTCTGGAAGGAAGGAAAGGTACCTGGCGATTGGAAGAAGGGTTACCTTGTCAAACTTCTGAAGAAGGGAGACCTCAGTGTTTGCAAGAACTACCGCGGAATCACGATCCTGTCCACCCCAAGCAAAATATTAGGCCGCATCATCCTGGAGAGACTAAAGGATACACTGGATTCAGGAAGTACAAATCATGTGCCAACCAAATTGCAACGCCACTCTACGCATCATCATAGAACAGAGTATGGAATGGCAGTCAACCCTCTACCTCAACTTCATCCACTTTGAAAAGGCCTTTGACAGCGTCGACCGGGAGGTAATTTGGCAGTTGCTTCAACACTACGGTTTTACTGACACAAATCTTTATCAATCTCATTCACCAACTATATGAAGACCCCAAATGCCAAGTAATTTACAATCATGCAACAAACAGTGGGGAGCGAGAAGAGAGGGATACGCTGGACCGCGGCAAAGGACCTAGAAGACTTGGATTTCGCCGATGACTTATGCCCAATGTCACACAAACTTGAAGATCTACAGGCGAAAACTAACAAGTTGACAGAAGAGGCGAAGCGAGACAAGGCAAGGCAGCGAAGACGGGACTTCCTTCAAGTGAACGTAGAGAAGACGACAGAGGTAGAGGTGATGAAGATACCCAACTAACACCACCACCACCACCAACAACAACAAGCTCCAATCACCATGAACGGGAGAAACTTAAAGGAAGTAGCCTCTTTCACTCACCCTCCTAGGAAGCACTGTTACAACTACAGCCGACACAGGCACAGACGAGGACGTCAAAGTCGGTCAGGATCGGAAAGACAGCACGACAGGAGTTGATTAACCTGAAACCAGTGTGGAGATCTACTGCACGGCACTGCACTGCACTCAGCATGTGGAACAAGATCCGGATTTTCAACACCAACATCAAATCAGTGCTTCTGTGTGGTGGTTGAGAGACTTGGCGCGTTACGAAAGGGATTTCCAACAAACTACATATATTCATTCATCAACAACTGCCTACGCTGGCTCGTTACTGAAGATCAGATGGATGGCCAGAATAACAAGAATCAGCAACAAGGAACTCTGGGAACGAACCAACGAAGCAAGAACTCATCGCGCAACAAATATGCATTGGAAGGAAGTGGTGATGAATTGGATTGGGCATACACTGAGAAGGCCGACTGGGGACATCACGCGCCGGGTCAGTTGCTCGAGTGGAACCCAGATGGAAAGCGACGAGTTGGGCGTCCGAGGTGAGGGTGACATGGAGGAGATGGATGGTGTGAGGAAGAGATGAGAGCTTGTGGACTGTCGTGGAGGCAGGTTCAAAAGAGTGGAGAGAAGAGAGTGGAATGGAGACGTGCTAGTGAAGCCCTATGTTCCATTAGAAACCCAAGGGACACAAATAATAATAATATTGTAATGACCGATGAAGCACCAGGTGTCTGTGACAACTTCTAAAAAACAGTAATCTACAGAGGATTAGGAGTTGTAGCACAGTGACATAAGGAGATGACTACCAACCATTGTGATACGACTTACAACTCCGTTCCACCTATCAAGGTTTGGGTAGTCTGGTATCACTAACCCTCACACAATAGGTGTGGTTCACTGACTATTAGACGAATGTGTACAAGGTGGCTGAGTGCATTACGTACAGCAGACTAGTGCATGAAAAGTTTTATTGTTGGCCATATAGTGAAGTGCAAACTTTTCGGCTGAGATCGGTGTAACAACAGGCAACAATGGTTGGGAACTCTATATAACACACCTCAAGATCGGTATCAGTGGAGCTGTATTCACACATCTATTGAATTCGGTATCATCTTATTCCTCCTTCCTCTCTTCTACTGCTTTTAAACAATTCCCCCTCTATCTTTTTATCTTTCATCTTACTTTTTTGTTGTATGATGTGAAGGTATACATTAAAACTGTATTATTACATTTGTATAGATGTAAATCAAACGGCTGTACTCATTGATATTTCCATTCTAAACGAAAGGCATAGAGAACACTGAAAATTAACCTCACTTGTAGAAAAAAGTACCAATTTCATGTTCACATCTCAAGAACAGACATAAAGAGGAAATTTAAGTACAGAAGATTAATTTCAAGTGCTTAAATACACACTTATTATCATTAACTCAAAGCATAAGGCTTTTTGTCTCTACCCTTAATATTAAGACTGTTGAGATTCAAGAACTTATTCGCTGAAGATATAGACTCTATGAATGCTAGTGGAACTGTAACTCATTTGTTTTATGTAGTTTATTTTTAAACACAGGGGTTAGAAGATTAAATCCCACTCCACCTATCGTGGTTTGAGCCGTTAAGTGGTATTATTAAAATCCACTCAACAGCCTTGTGCACATTTGTGCAGTAGGCAATCAGCCACACCTATTGTATGTGAGGGATAATGATACTAATTGGCTGCCTAAATCTCGGTGGTGGAATCTGTCACCCACTGGGTGAAACCAGTGAACTACAACTCCACAGGTAGGCAACAGATGTCAGACAGGCAGTCAGTATCAACAAAGGACTTGGCATTACTGTATAATGGTCCAGCTCACCATACTTAAAGCTAGAACATCAAGATCAAAAGCACACAAACGAAACAGAGACGAAAACATTGAAGACAAAAGTTGTAGAACACCAGAAGAAGAGGAGAGAGGATAAAATGAGTAAAACATGTACTACAAAGGTTGAAAAGATCAAGTACGGTGGATCTACGCCACTGAAATCGATCGTAAGTAATGTTCCTAGATATGGAGCACTGCCTGGTGCCTGTTGAACTACAAACAATAATTTCGTAACAGAATAAAAGGTTGCTTTAAAATAGACAACTATGGAAGTCAAACTGGAGGTTTGTGGGAATTAGTTGATACCAAGGTAGTATTCAGTACGAACAGATGTCAAGTTGGAGAACCACTGAACAGCTATTCCATCCTAATATGCACGCACGATCCCACCATGGATCTAATCTGGGACTATCAGGCCTCATGATGACCACCTTACTGATATCAATCCATGATTAATACTATCTTGAAACTACTTAAGTTCGTATTCCGTAAAAACCTACTTTTTTTATTTTCTTCTGATCTTGAACTTGTTCTCTCCCCACCAACCTGAGTGTTTATCCTACAGGCACGTGCTCCTTACCCTTCACACACACACACACACACACCTCTGTAAATCACAAGTCAGCTTATAGACGTAAGTCTCTAGTGTCTTGTGTACCTAGTATAACTAATGCAACAAAAGTGACAACTTTTAATACACAATTCTTGAAAAAAAGGGGGATAGTAAGGACCCTAAGCAAAATATACATTACATAGATTTAGATAGGTGAAATATACCTTGTCTAAATGCGTGGACTATCCACCTAGTGCTTACCTTCAGTAACCATGAATTAAGATGGGAAGCTTTCACCGGGAATACATTTATTGATAGGATCCGAAACTAATATGGCAGTGAGACTGTTATCTCCATATTCATGAAGAACATCGTCCCCACCCAAGACTATTGGTTCGCTAACGATAGTCTCACATGTAATAACTTAAGTGTATTTTAAGTGACTGAAAGTTGTTTTGACCGAATCAGCTGAGCAGTAATCTTTTCACTGTTAAATAAATGTAATCGAACAGGCTAAGCAACAGAAGACTTAACCTTATTATAAATTCAAACCTTTACTAAAAGTTGGTCAGTTTACCAAATGACACGGGATTAGTTCACCAAGAATAGCATAAAAAGTTTATTTTTGAATTTATGGCACTCACATATACATCCTCTGTATCACTATCAGTTAGCTTTGATTGGTTTAACATACGTTGGGCCGCTGCTGATGCACTTTGTGCTTGTTTAATGCTAGCTTCCAGGCTAGCTGTCATTTGTGCATGCTCAGAAAGTAGGCAGATAAGACGACGTAAAACACTTGAAATGAAAGGGTATAAAAGAAATATCTCCCATTAAAATATCTTCCTCACTGAAAAAAATACGACTAACAGTAGATAAAAAGATGAAACATCTAAAATATTGGTAACTTACAACCATGTGAACAATGAGAACCCAGCGATATACAAATTTCTTTGAGCTCGAAACATACGCATAAGGTAAAGAGACTCAGTTTCTGGACGCATTTCATAAGGATGGGCTTTTAGTGAATTATATGCTTGCTTCTGGGTCCAAGAATTACGAACTGCCTCTGAAAGAGTAAAACAATAAAATTATCAAATAAATACACTACCTATTTGGACACGTATCACGTATGCCTAGTCACCGATTGCCTCGTCACACAATGTTGGCCGAAGTAGGTTCAGGCTGGAAACGGGACCGAGGTGACCAGACTAAAACATAACACCAATGTATGAAGTCTCTAACTGTTGGTTTGAGCCGTGTATGGGGGGCGATGCAGACTAGGTGGTTGGGGTCCACGGGACAGAGGAATCACTGGTGGTTGGAGACTCTAGGGGATATGGGTGAGAACCGATGTCAGTGGCTCAGATGTATCCCTACACACATTATCCTCATCTTAATGACGCCATACCGAATCTCACCACTTTCTCATTCTTCCTTTTTCTCTTCTCGTACTTCATATTTTTTTGACTGCATTTTCTTATCTTCATCCTTCACCTCAATACCTTTGGACTTGATGTAGTGATATGAGGTGTAGTGGGAGGTCGGACCGTTACGCAGTAATGCAGCAATGTTGATATTGATGATGATGAATGCAGTGATCTATAAACAATAAGGTAGAAGTATTGTATGATATGGAAACTAGTTTTTTTTAGGTGCTTTGAGCTACTTCATAGCTGCTGCCTGGTTACAGTTTATACTGTCTACGAACAATGCCTATAAACAAATGAAGTCATAAAAGCCACATAATTTTTAACAGTTAATTAGAATATGTAGAGAGAACTTTAACATTTAAAACTCAAGTGTGAAATTGTGTTACTACTGGGTGTACAGGATGATTGGAGCTGTTGCTAATTGATTTGCGCCCTCGGTTTCCAACCGATTGGTCATCACTTTGAACACAACTCCATCTATCAATTGATTTTGGTAACCAGGTAGCCCTCACACATTAGGTGTGGAGTCATTACCTTCTGCACAAATGTGAACTAGGTTGATGAGTCGGTTGCATTCATTCTTTTTGTACGATATATGACAGCAGTAAAGTGTTTTCCGAGGATAATTAGCATTGTAATTTGACACTACATACCTTGGTATAGAAAAGGTCAAGTGTATATATTTACCTTTTTGTGGACAGAGACAGTTTTTTCCTGTTATTAGATATACTTTGGTAAAATTAATGCTTTTATTATCGAGATTAAAATCAAAATGTCATTCTTTGTATATAATTTTTCCTAATTTACATCACTTATCACAACTGTTTCACCTGTACACCGAATTCTCAGTTTCATATAAATTGATGAGTAAATTTGTGATTAGATTGTTCTAAATGTATTGTGCAAATACATTACACTACTCAGATAAAGACTCCTAATTCTAATATCTAAATTTATTAAAAGGACTGATTGTTTTGATGTACCTTTATAGGAGAGATTAGGATGTATCGGTTCTAAAAAAAATGCATAGTTCTCCCTTGTCCCATGAGCTTCTCGTGTCGATGGTAAAGGTATTAATAAACATATCCTAAAATTCGTGTAACCAGAGTCAAGAAATCTGTTGAGCTTTATGGTCATGCGTTGAAACAGATAAAAAAAAACACCCTGGACAACAGAATTTTTTCAGTTAACTCAAGAAATAAGCCTCAACAGTGACAGCTAGGAAGTGTTAACCACCTCTATACTTCCGTCACGATCCAATTCCTTTCTAAGCACCATCCTTCACGTTTAATTTAATTGCCTTATAAATTTTCTTGACATTTCTCAGTTAAGAATTATAAATCATCTGTAACTTCTATCACCTCAGTAGGTCACGGTAGATCCATCCATCCAGATCAACCTAGGACCAGGCATTACTGGGTAACCCTACAAGCTCTCACACCTCATATTAGTACATGAAGTAAAATGGCAATGAGGCGCAAGATGAAGATACGAGAAAGCAGTCAAAAGAAATATGAAGTACGAAAAGAGAAAGTGGTGAGATTCGGTATGGCGTCATTAAGATGAGGATGTGTGTGTAGGGATACATCTGAGTCACTGACATCGGTTCTCACCCATATCCCCTAGAGTCTCCAACCACCAGTGGTTCCTCTTGTCCCACCGACCCCAACCACCTAGTCTGCATCGCCCCCCATACACGCCTCAAACCAACAGTCAGAGACTTCATCCATTGGTGTCATGTTTTAGTCTGGTCACCTCAGGCCCGTTTCCAGCCTGAACCTACTTCGGCCAACATTGTGTGACGAGGCAATCGGTGACTAGGCATACGTAAAAAGTGTCACAGCTAACCATCACAATCGATGAAGGTTCACAACTTCGTCAACCAACTTACCTCTTCTCCCCAAAACTCTACTCCTGACTTCTGCGTTACTCACATGGTGTGGGGACATCACGTAATACGGCCTATACTACGAAGGTCATGGTGATCAAACACCTCAAAACTTCTCATGTCTTCCACTTTCAATGGCCATCTCTCACAGCCATACAGTAGAACAGACTGGACTGCTGTGCACTACACGCGACCCTTAGTAGACAATCGGATATCACAGTGGCGTTACAGGTGGCGTAAGTTGGCAAAAGCCAATCAAGCCTTTTGTATCTGTGCACAGATTTCACCGGCCACTGAGCCATCAGGGCTGATCCTACTAACCAGGTAAGTGAAGTGGTTGACATACTCAACTACTTCACTCACTCTATCTATTGTTAGCCGTGGCACCACTGAAGACCAGTCCTGGAGCAACAATTTACATCTGGGTGTTGAGAAACACATCCCAAACATTCTCAAATTCCCACTCAAAGTGTTCAGAAGACTCTGCATCTTGTCAGCGTCTTCACCTAACAGGACTATGTCATCTGCATATTCTAGATCTAAGGAAAATTCACCTGTGATTCGGTCAACGTCTTTGTAATTAGGTGACGAGAGGGAAACCTCCATAAGAATATCTATGATAAAATTAAATAAGAATGGGGATAGTGGGCATCCTTGACGGACACCACTTGATGAGTATAGCTCCCTGGACAACTCACCATAGGCTCTAACATGCCCACAAGTGTTCGAGTAGAGAGCTTTCAATAAGGTGATGTACTTACTAGGCACGCCTTTCAGTGACAGACACTGCCATAAGACTTCTCGATCAACGGAGTCAAATGCCGCCTTCAGGTCGAGAAATACAGCTATTGTCGGGCGTCTGTAAGCATGCCTATGTTCCAGGACCTGGCGCAGTGTGAATATTTGGTCGATACATCCACGGCCAGGTCTAAAGCCTGCCTGGTTTTCTCGGGCTTGCTGTTCCCGAGCTCCACTCAGGCGTCGGAGAATTATAGAACTTAGGATCTTAGACACTATGTTTGTCAGGCTGATTCCTCTGTGGTTATCACAAGAGGACTTCTCGCCTTTCTTGAAGACTGGGATGATCAGTGACTTAGACCAGTCGGAGGGGATCGTATTTGATTCCCATATACTGGCTAACACTTCCGTTAGCCTGACTAAGAGAACTCTACCACCATTCTTGTATACCTCAGCAGGTAGTCCGTCTGGTCCTGCTGCCCTTCCCCGTTTCAGGCTACCTACCGCTTTCTCAACTTCTTCTAGTGTTGGGGGACCTGTCTCTATGTCCCATTCAGGGTCCGACTGGATAGCGGGCAGCGCAATGGTGGCTGGAGGCCAGTTAAACTGTGCCCATCGTCCCAGTCGCCTTCCCTGCGAGTGAATCGCCGATCCGTCCTTCTCCGCTATAACCTCACTAACTGTTGTTGACCATTTCCCCCCAGTCTCCTTAATAAGTCTAAATAACTGTCTACTGTTACCGATCGCCGCTGCCTTTTCCATCTCTTTAGCCTTTGCTGCCCACCACTGTTCACGATCGTTGCGCAGACTTTTCGTCAGTTTATTTTTAAGTTGCGCTCGCTCTTCATTGTACTCTTCTTATGTACTTCTTATGAACAAGAGCTTGATGGGGGTAACCTATTTCAGATAAAGGCATATATGATTTCCAAGCATCTGTGTATATTATGGTGCCCAATGTCACGGATTTTTGCATAACTGCTAGGATAGATTGTTTTGATCTATCCTTTATCCACGAAAAATGTCCCTCCTTCGTATTTCAGTCGTATATACCAAGAATTTGTGGTTTGCCAAGGCAAATGTATGTATAAATACATTGGATAAGTTATAACTTACCCAATCCTGATTGAGTCACCGTCCTAGACTATATTAAAGTTTCCGAACAAAGCATTCATCTATTTCAAACACATTACCTACTCCACTGAATCTCACCTACAACATAATCTCCGACATAATTCACCAAAAGCTTATGCACTTTCAACAATAAGGTAAACGGACATAATTAGTAGCTAGAGTAAATCGCCTTCAACTTGATTGGTTATCCTCAAGGTTTCCTGTCACTCAAGTTTACTCTAACCGAAATTTTAGTGGTCAACTCGACAACCTAAATCTCTACAAAATAAATGACAAATCAGCATAGAAACTGGCAAGAAAAGTGCGTCAGTTTGAGGTGCTACACCTTATAATAGAATACAAAGAAGTGGGTAAAACAGAAAGATAGTTGATTACAGAAAACTATGAGTAGTAAGGGTATCAACATATGAAAGTTGGGAAACTTGTGAGTAATTCTCATGATAAAGTGCATACATATCTGAGTCACTGTGATTGATTTCTAGATACACCACTAATAGATATAACCGTTGACTATATAAATATACTGGGTCATGACTGAAATTGAAATGAAAATTTGGATAGTGGCTGGATTCGAACCAGCGACCACCGGCCCGGTGCTCTACCAATTAAGCTACGATGTCCGATTGCTGTTGACCAGATTTTTATTTCATTTCAATCACCAAAGGTTTTCCTTGACTACCATGTGAATTCGTGGTGCGTTACTACCACTTGGTCGTACTTACACTGGCTACCTAGTCAGGACTTCTCACCTCAATCCTAATCTAACTGATACAGAGAGGGGGAGCATCATACTGATTATCATCTGACTATCAGAGATAGCTGTGGTTTTGGGAGACTATTATTTATACTAATCAATATGATGCTTCTGCTCTCTGATTCAGTTAGATTAGGATTGAGGTGAGAAGTCCTAACTAGGTAGCCGGTATGAATAGCATCAAGCGGTAGTAACGCATCACGAATTCATATGGTAATCGAGGAAAACCCTTGGTGATTGAAGTGAAATAAAAATCAGGTCAGCAGCAGTCGGACATCGTAGCTCAATTGGTAGAGCACCAAACCGGTAACCGGCCGCGGTCCAAACTTTCATTTCACTTTCAATCATCACCCAGTATAAATACTAGTCATCATCATCATTATCAACATAGGACCAGGCATTACTGCGTAACGGTCCGACCTCGCACCACACCTCATATCACCACATCAAGTAAAAAGTTAGTGAGGTGAAGGATGAAGATAAGTGAATGCAGTCAAAAGAAATATAAAGTATGAGAAGAAAGGAAAGAGGAGTGACAAAATAGTGAGATTCGGCACAGCGTTGTTAAGATGAGGATAATGTGTGTATACATCTGCGCCACTGACTTCGGTTCTGAGCCATATCACCTAGGGTCTCCAACCACTGGTTCCTCTTGTCCCGTGGACCCCAACCACCTACGGGACAAGAGGAACCAGTGGTGGTTGGAGACCCTAGGTGATATGGCTCAGAACCGAAGTCAGTGGCGCAGATGTATACACACATTATCCTCATCTTAACAACGCTGTGCCGAATCTCACTAGTCTGTCAAAACCATGGCAATCTGTGAATAAATGCGAAGAGAATTCATCAAAAAGATTGTTGAACAGAGGAACAAGCCTTACCAATATCACCTAATAATTCTCAATCTCTAACCTATAGGTTACATAGACTAGGAGGATAGTGATAATGATGTAAAACACTATTTATGATCCGTTAAAATCAAATGAAATTTTTCACTTACCAGCTAATGCACATCCCAACATTATTAGAAATAAGTTGAAGTAGAATGATGCATTTGTAGCGATTTTTTGTATTAAACCAATTTTGAAAAGTCTACTCCATCTATTTAGAAAACAAAGAAAAATTAATTTTCACTTTCAGAATACTCTTACGTTCGTGATGAAAAGAGAGGCAGGATCATTAAGACAACAGCAAATCCTTCACTGAATAAGAATGCTGAAACAAAATACCAAAGCATTTTGTATTCTCTGAAGAAGAAAAGAAAAAAGGTAGATATAACTATAGTATGATAAAAGTGATAAACGGAGAGAAGAAAAAGTAAGGCTATTTATAACGTTTTCTTGACAAGATAATTATCTTTACAGTTTTTAAATGACAAAAAACATATAAAAATGTTTACAGTATATGTTGATAAGCATACTAGACAAATATCTTTTAGGACAAAAATTAAAATGTAACATAAGTAAATCGAACCCATAACAGAAAGGCATGATAATAGTAGAGATATTCTAATTATCACTTTTGATCTGAAGTAGCCTATAAAAGTGAAAATATATATAAAGCTAATATTGACAAAATAACTTACTCAGAAAAATCAATAAACAATAATAAATTATACCATATACTGGGTTTCTTTGATTGAAGATGATATTCCCTTTAGAATTTATTGGTAATCCAAGTCCACGTCCATACCAAAATAAAATAAACATTATACATTTATATATGTATATATATATTCTCTTACTTTGATGTTAATACCTTAGAGCAGCTAATACTTTCAGAGATATCACAAACAGCACGATAATTCTTATCTGACTCTTTTGAATATTCAACGTGTAATGCATAAATACATATTGAAATTCCCACAATGCATGCCAGACGTATTAATCTGGATGTATTACCAAGCATTTGCTAAATTCTACTAGAGAAAGGAGAGAAAAACTTAAGTGTAAAACCATACTCCCACATCTGAAAGTACTTATCCTTACAATGATAGTTTTGTTTGAGTCATCATCATCATCATCATTACCAACATAGGACCAGGCATTACTGCGTAACGGTCCGACTTCCCACACCTCAAGTCAGTTCATCAAGTAGAAAGGTAGTGAGGTGAAGGATGAAGATAAGTGAATGCAGTCAAAAGAAATATAAAGTACGAGAAGAAAGGAAAGAGGAGTGACAAAATGGTGAGATTCGGTATAGCGTTGTTAAGATGAGGATAATGTGTGTATACATCTGCGCCACTCACATCGGTTCTGAGCCATATCACCTACAGTCAGTCTCCAACCACCACTGGTTCCTCTTGTCCCGTCGACCCCAACCACCTAGTCTCCATCGCCCCCCATACACGGCTTAAACCAACAGTCAGAGACTTCATACATTGGTGCCATGTTTTAGTCTGCCCACCTCGAGCCTTTTCCCAGCCTGGACCCACCTCAGCCAACATTGTGTGACGAGGCAATCGGTGACCAGATATACGTAGTACGTGTCCCAACCAACTCAGTCGATGAAGGTTCACAACCTCGTCAACTGACTTACCTCTTCTCCCTCCCTAAAACTCTACACCTAACTTCTGCATTACTCACATGGTGTGGTGACACCACGGAATACGTCCTATACTACGAAGACAATGGTGCTCAAACACCTGAAGCCTTTTTCTATCCTCCACTTTCAGTGGCCATGTTTCACAGCCATACAGTAGAACAGAGAGGACTGCTGTGCACTACACGCGACCCTTAATAGACAAACGAATATCACGGCCGCGCCATAGGTGGCGCAAATTGGCAAAAGCCAATCGAGCCTTTTGTATCCGTGCAGAAATCTCATCGGCAACTAACCCACCAGGACAGTGCTGATCCTACTTCCCAGGTAAGTGAAGTGGTCAACACACTCAACCACAACACTCTCTATTGTTAGCCGCGGTACCGCTGAAGACCAGTCCTGGAGCAAAAATTTGCATTTGGGTGGTGAAAATCGCATCCCAAACATTCTCAAATTCCCACTCAAAGTGTTCAGAAGACTCTGCATCTTGTCAGCGTCTTCACCTAACAGGATTAACAGGACTATGTCATCTGCATATTCTAGATCTAAAGAAAATTCACCTGTGATCGGGTCAACGTCTGTGTAATTAGGTGACGAGAGAGAAACCTCCATAAGAATATCTATGATAAAATTAAATAAGAATGGGGATAGTGGGCATACTTGACGGACACCACTTGATGAGTATAGCTCCCTGGACAACTCGCCATAGGCTCTAACATGCCCACAAGTGTTCGAGTAGAGAGCTTTCAATAAGGTGATGTACTTACTAGGCACGCCTTTCAGTGACACATTGCCATTAAAAATAAAGCGTTTAAAAATTCTTGATTGTTCGATTTATAAGCTCATTTCACTCCCTATTGTTGGAACTACAGTTTTTTATAACACTGGAATGTCAATCGGAGATCAAACGAAGGTAATTTCTATTATCAAGGTAGTATAGGATAGTTGGCTCGAAGGGTCAAGTCTTTCTGTTTGTAACATTACCAACTAACAGTAAGTATTTATAGACAGTCATCACAACATTGGAATAGTCACCGAAAGAAATCATAAGTATACCACACACTTACCACCAGTGAGTCGTTTTCTGTGGTGTCTAGTCATACTCCAATGGCTTAGATTGGCCTGAAGCAATCGTTGTTTCAGCTTCAGCTAACAGGTTACAAATTTATAAGACCACACATATCATGAAGAACTACACTGTCCTGTACTACCTTAATAAGTGACGTTTCATGGAGTGGGTAGCAGCAAAGTATCATCAACCGAGGCCTGTCAATTAGTGCCAAGCCATTCAACAAACTCACTGCCATTAATAATCACCGGATAATAAAACATAAGTCGGCAGTGTCATGGATGTGCTTGGTCATCACGATAACCTGCTTTCTGCTACTAATGATACTTTAGAATTTACGACCATAGTGCATGATTATACATCTCTGGAGAGATCCACGAGTGAAGCCAAGATCATATTAGAACAGTAATTTATATCTGCATTGGTCTGTGCACAGGTAAACTAGTTAACCATCCATATTTCTGAAGACTGTAAGTTGGTTTCAGATTTCCGGTTTTTTTAATTCAAAAAGAGTTCTTGTAAGTTCCTGCTCTGTGAGTCGTTTATAAGATTCAACCTTGGCTAATACAAGTAAAATGTTTACAAGAGGCTCAAATGCTGCAAACAAAATTATATAGTAGTTAGTGAGTCCAGCTAATGAGGCACGCCGAAAGCTAGCAGTGAAAGCTTATCCTGTTAGCAGAAGTATTTCAGGATAACAACCATGGCAGTTTTGCCTAGTTTTCATGCACGATGCAGGTCACCTGCAGGAAAACATCACAATCGCCAAAAGTTCTTACAGTACTGCCGCGTACTCTTACAGCACACCGCTATGACGGGCTCTAGGTCACTTCATAGGTATCTCAAGGACGGTGATCAAGCCAATTGCTTCCAATGTCCAATATCTTTTTATGAACCAGTGTAAACCAATTAGTTTCTTTGCGTTCGCTTCTAGGTCTTGTGGAACGGTTCCAAGTCTTTGGTGGATTCCGATGCAGTAGGTCTACCCACTCGACTGCTGTAGCCGGTTAGCCCGACTGGCGTTTGGGTGAAATTTGTAGGGAGCGTGTTGTTTTCTTTTTCCAAGGACTGCGGTGCATATGAGTTCCTCAAGTGTCGTACTAGCAGACAATTGGTCGGACTGGTTGTAAAAAGGAGACGGAAAATATGTTCAGAGAAATGAAGAGAGAGAAAGTACGAAGAAAAAGGAAACGGTACGGAAGAAGAAACATTGGAAGATTCGTGGGGGACGGGTGATAGGAAGAGCTTTTATTCAAGTGTGAGAACGTAAAGCCAGTAGGAAGAGAGGGAGAAAATAACATTATAGGGCGGCTTATGGGAATAGAGATGGTAATTCTATTAGCAGGGGACGGTAACTGGAGGGGACATCTAAAAGGAAGTATAAGGTTGAGCGAAGCTCGCAGTGACAGTGGTGTTACAAAGTATTCGATAATGGGTTGGCCATACTGGGTTAGTAGGTCGTGTCAGCACAGTCCACACCCCAGCTAGACGAGCGCAAGCCGTGCGTCACTGAGTAACTGTCCAACCTCTACTTGAAGTTGTCAACATACGGAGCGGTAGCAATCTCAGCAGGTAATGCGTCCCAATGACTGCGAACTCGCAGAGAGAAGTGTGAACGCACACGGGTTTTCGCCCTTTGATTGGAGATTCTCCTTGGGTTAACACGAGGATCGCCACAGTGGACGCTTGGTAGGATCCCACTGCTCGAATGAATTGGGTTACTTAGCATTTTGTAAGCCATCGTCAAGCCACTGCGTAATCCAACTTAAGTTGTCTCGGAAATTCCGAATACAAATTCCGGCCATAAATTCTATGCTTCCAGGAATGTAGATCAGATTTTTATTGGATTGTGTGCCTGCGTTATTTCAAAACACTGTTGGTCACATATTGGATTCAGATTTGTTGTTTGAGGGTAAGAGGCTAGGAGTCTATATCAATTCAGTAGACCTCTGTGCTTTTCAGTCCCCTTTTGAACCAGTCACCAGATGTTATGGACACCACTTTTTGTGGGAGTCGGTTCCAAGAGTTGATTACTCGACGCGAGAACCGGTACTCTGCGGAGACTATGTTTGTTCTTTGCGTATGTAGCCTCCTACTATGTCATCTGAGGTGTTCCGACCTATTGGGAAGGAAAAAAGAAGACAGATCATGCCCGAAGTCACTTCTTAGAATCCTGTATAGCATGATTAAATATCCACTCTGTCTGCAATAGGATCAGGCGGGTAAGTTCAGCTCTTAAAGTCGATCTTCATAGGCGAGGCCAGCCATCGTAGGGATCGCACTGAACTCTTTCTTAAGGTCTGCATCACCTTTCATACAAGGATTTGTCTCCTGTGTACAGTTCTCTAATCTGGACCTGACTAGGGACGTGTGTAAGATGGCGGATGTGCCACCACTTATTTTCGTAAACGTCCTACATAGTGCCCAAGGAGTCCTAAAGCTCCCAGCCGCTACCAGTCGACAGTGTGCCATGGTTTTCAAATCATAACTCGCCATGACTCCTAGGTCACCGTAGGTCAGTACTGAAGGCAGAGGAGTTCAGTCAGTATTGTAGGTGTTGCCGTGTGTGTGACCCAAGTACATGCCCACATTTACCTGCGTTGACAGACATCAGCCATTTCTCTGACCAGGTAAGCGAGCTGCTTAGGTCAGTCTGAAGTGCATGTACATCCTCGACACTCCTAATTTTCCGCCGGATTTTTACATCATCAGCGTAGGGAACCATGGTGGATTTGCGTATAGGAGAAACGGCGGGAGACCTATGACTGTGTCTTGTGGCACTCCACTCTTTACTAACTTCCGGAAGGGAGTTGGAACTGATCCTTACTCTTTGTCTCCTGCTAACTAAGTCCTTTATCCGTGCAAGCAGACTCCAGAGATTCCAAAATTTTCCGGTGTTCCGAGCAACCTGGAATGAGGTAACTTGTCGAACGCCTTATTAAAGTCTACGAAAAGACATCTAAAAGTACCCCGTCAACCTTAGACCGAACCCAACTTTCTTTGACCGTAGGTAGGTTTTTCAGGCGAGAGAAATTTCTGAGAAAGCCATACTGCGGACGAAACAATACGATGTTGCTCTCTAAGTGGAATGCGATAGCCTTCTTGATTACTCTTTCCAGGATTTTTTATGACAGTACTGGTCAAACTTATCGGCCTGGTACTTGATGGATGCTGCACAGAACCTTCTTTGTGGATAGGTGTAGTTAAGGCATCCGTCCAGTCATAAAAGAGTACGCCCTCACTGAGGGACAGTCTAAATATGGCAGTTCATGGGCCGGCTACACATAGGGCAAGCTCT